CAAAATTTCATTTCATTGGGTTAGAAGAATGATGCAATGCTTGCTAATTTGAGAAATCAGTCATCAATTATTGCAAGCAACCTGAAACAACATCAAACCAGGTTTGTTGGAAACTTATGTATCACTACAGTAACCTACATTAGGCAGAAAAGAAGTTTGGGAGCCAGATTCAGGCATGCAGTTAAATGATACACAATATGGCAAATCTGTGGAGGTCCAAGAAATTCTTATCTGCTTCCATGCAGGGATGATAGATTGAGAATATACATTATTGGCATTAAACCACCATTCTTCTATTTTTGGGGATATATGACAAAGTTTCAAAAGTTGGGATGAAGGTTTTTAATAAAACAATAGCAAAGAATTGAATTCTTACCAAGTGTAGGGTTGCCGTATATATTGATGGGAGGAATAAAATGTTACAATGTAAGAAACTTATGCTTTATTTTCTTTTAGTAGCAAATTTAATAATTGCCCACCAATATAAATATTTAGATTATCTCAAATTTGAAAAATGTTTTGATAAGGCCTGGTCAATAGCTCACTGACAAAATTCATCCACCCCCAAAACAAAGAGGGAAATCATTGCATCAGTGAAATCAGTGTATACTAGAACTGGCAGAATTATATCCATTTTATAAAAGATAAAAGTGATGACCATTCAGGGCATATAGAGCATTTAAAGGGCTTGTTAAAGGATTATTTAAAATAGAAATTATTTTGGTAATGCTATTTAAATAAATAAGTAAATCAATAATGGTTAAACACTTTTTTGTGAGGTTTATAAGGTTATTTTTTATTAAAAGTATTGCTTTACTACCGTGTTTCTCATATAATAAGGCCGGGTCTTATTTTTTTTTGAGCCCCGAAAAAATGGCTAGGCTGTCTTTTCAGGGGTGACTTAATTCCCCCCCCCCTTGCATCTTCGGGCGGGCGGGCAGCGACGGCTTGGATGTTGACCTCGGCATTGGTGGGGCACTTCGTATCGGGGGTCAACGCAGGCAGCACCATATCCAGGTGTGCAACAAAAGTACTTCCTAATGGCAAGCCCCCCCCCCCACCATTCCCCTCCATTTCACATGTTTTAATATAGGCCTTAATTTGGGGGGAGGGGCTTAATTTCATTTCATGCCTATAAAACATGCTGGGACTTCCTATTGGGGGAGGCCGTATTGTTGGAGAAACAGGGTATAGATATTACATTTTAGGGATTAGAGACATGACTACCATTATTTTCCCCATGATTTTCAAGCAAGTTGCAGTATGCCTGTCAAAGAAACAAACACATAGGGAAAAGGAATTGGGGTGAGGAGGTTGAGAAGTGGGGTGTTGACTCATGTCTATTAGCCAACAGAAGTATGTGTTAAGCCTGGATTCCCCAACGGGTGTTAAGGAAAACAAACTAAA